GTCGTTTATCCGAATCAATTGGGGACTGGGGTTGTTCGGATAACTTATTTTTCGGATAACCAATTATGTACGAAAAAATATATTAATTTATCCCGTGTTGAAATTTTTCTCCGTTGCGTGTCGCTTCGCGTTGAATTTTCGTCGATGTTAAGCCTAACGAAGACTATTGTATCGTTAAAAATTATTTTTTTATTTTGTACAAACAAAATAAATATATTGAAAAATATAAAAACAATAAAAAATTATACTTCAAAAGTTAATTTAGTATCAAAAACGTAAAATATTTGAGTAGCCCAAGATATAGCCAAAGATTGCAGCGCCACAGCACTAGCGAAAATTTAAATTTGCGGACTGGAATTCTTTCGGATATTTGATGTTTCGGATAATTAACTTTCGGATAATCGACGCTCTACTGTACTACAATTATTTTTTGTTATTTTTTTCGAAAATGAAAAAAAAATTGTCATTTAAAGGCTGGACAATAAAAATTGTAAAATTTTGGGTTGACAAAAAAATATTTTATTTAATGTTTAACAAGTTTTACTTAATTTAATTTAATTTCAATCTAGGTGTCATTTTCGGATTGACTGATAGTTTATATAATGCTGCAGGTATATTATCACCCTATGTCGCTGGAGTTATATTAGATAAAAACGTAAGTCAAAACTTCTTCAAATTTATGTTTACTTATATAACATATTCTAATTTTTTTTATTGATTTTTCATATAAGGAAGGAGACATGATTCAATGGAGCTACGTGTTTTATATGATCTCTTCGGCTTACATTCTGGGTGGTGTAATTTTTATATTTGGAGCTACTGCAAAAGTTCAACCGTGGGCTACCATTAATACAGACAACAAGAAACAAGACAACAATTAATCATAAATATAAATCGAATTTTATTTGGAACGATAAAAATTCTGCTTATAGAATAATTAGAAGCCAAGACATGTAAAATTGGTTATGGTTGATATAGTAGCACAATTCCTGTCATTGTCCTGCTTTTAATTTTTGATAGTGGAAAAATATGCGATTAGTTTGATTGCAGAAGACAATAAGAGACAGATATTGTGATAATTGATCACGTTTGTATAAATCATTTTAACAACAATTTATCATGTGAGAATACGGACGAGGGTCCAGGCCCTCTAATCGTCGGATCTGGAGGATCCACTCACTTTGTCACTGGATGGCTTAGTCTAACAGAATTCGAGCGGTAAAATTCGTTGTGGGGTTGTGCAATTTGGTATAGGCAATAACAGAGGAGTCCATAAATAAACTCAACAAAACAATTATTTAATATAACAAAATAAAGAATCATACAAGGAGGAATATATTCTAGGGCCCTAAGTTCCCTACGTTGCGAGAGAGAGTATACAATAAGTCATATTACCTCGTTGTTCATTCTGAAGGAGCTGGTTTGCTGTAGTGAGGTTAGGCTAGACTTTACTGTTGGATGGCTAGCAGATGAGTAGCAGGAGGGTCAACTTCTTTGTAGGAGGGTAGAAGCTGCAGGAGTGACAGGAGGAGTCCTATGTATCACAATCTGCTATGTCGTATGGTATATTCTATCTGGGATGCCTTGAGTGTCTGGAAACTTGCCCTTTTATCTAAAATTTTTCCCTAATCATTATTCCAGGAAATATATCATCTGACGGGATGATCAGTTGGGTCACTCTTCCATATGTTTGGTTACAATCAAGATAAGTTGTCTGTGAAAGGAAACTGAGTTCCTTTTTTCACAAGAGTAGAGTTATTCAGCAGTTTTTTATGGATGTGGTTTTGTTGCAATTTTTTCTATATTTTATTATATTAAAATATATAAACTGTTAATACAAAAATAAAAGATAAACTCAGCTTAATGTCTGATTATATAGAATGAGGTTTTTGTAAAAATTATGTAGATTAGACTGGCTAAATCCAGCTAGTCACAATCATAGTCTCTGAAAAACGTAGATTACCATTCGAGCAAATAATTGAATTAATTAGCTAGACTTCATTTTAGGTCGGGTTGTTTAGATTTTCTCGTTTACGAACGATATGAATTGTCTCTATCTCTTTTTATATGTAAAACTCTTTCTATATATATATATAACTCTTACCATATATAAAACATTTTCTATATATAATTTTTAATATTAATAAAAGCGTTTATTTCAAATGTGGAAGTATTATATTTTATTCTACCTTATTTTAACTACAGTAGGACCTATATCAAAAATATATAAATATTAACTTTGCTTGAATTATTACATAAACTCGAAAAAATGATTAAAATTTTACTCTCTATTAATGTGTGAAGTTTAATCATTTATAATATAATTTTAAAAAGTTGCAAATTTGTAGTGAAACAATTGCATGAAAAATGAAATTACATAAAACCGAAATCTCCGACACATTTTAAAAATACGTTTTTAATATTAGTGGAAAAATTCTCAAAAAATACAGTTACCAAAAGCAATTAATACATAAAAATACTACGCTTATTCATGTTAAATAATTTTACCTCTACTTAGTAACAAATTATTCATTTATTATTGATGTGAAAAAAGTAAAATACGAATGACGCGATGACTCAAAGTTATGGAAACGACCTCGGGCCGTTTTCAGTTATCAAATGACGTATAAACATTATCACAGGAGGCAGATAGTTCAAAACATGGTTACAGTAAAGCTTCCACACGCTGTACTATCGCTGAAAAACGTTATATCGTCGAACAAAGAGATCAGTGTCAAAATGATAGTGCGTCGCCGTTTTAAACTATTCAAAGCAAGGAACTGTAAGTCAAGTCCTTGAATGGTTGGTTCGTACCACGTAAAAGTCAATAGAAATGAAATGTATTTTTGCGGTACGATGAAACATTTCGAGTTTCGCGGAATGTTGCCACGTGGGTATCGTTTATGGTACTGTGTTACTAGATTCAGTGAGTGTAATAATTAATTTGCACAGTTACTTCGTGTGTAACGAAATGTCTTAATAGACGAATTGCAGGCGCGGTAAGAAAATCAACATAAGCAGTAACGTATTTAAATCACTCTGTTCAGTGGGAGGGACAGTGGATACATGGTAACATTATGGCATGAGATCGAATTCATAGACTCCATTTCTTTAAGATAACAAACAATACTTTAATAAAAATAAAAAAGATATAATACAAACAAGAAGCAAACGATTATATGCTATAACTATTTTGCGAGTAAGAGAGTTAACATGTATTTAGGGTATACTACCTCGAATGAGTAGCTTGAATTGTTGATCGGCATTGATCAGATCGGAGTTTCGGTAGGTTTCGGTGAAGCGAGAAGATGTCGATTCTAGCGGCGCTCAAAAGCAAAAGGTCTAATTTCTGGCCGACGACATTATTTTCTCCAAGAAGAATTTGCATGGGAAGGTTCAGGTGGAGAAGGACTGATAAGGAAGGCCCTGGTCGGAGGAAGTGATCAGTTTTTATCCCCGAATACGTTTCCCTTAGCGAAAACAACATGTGGAAGAAATTTATTTCTCACACTAACTATTATTAATTTTGAAAGGAAAATATTACTTTTTCATGGAGAAATTACTATATAGTATTTACCATAAGATAAAATAAAGAAAATGACGGATGGACCTTATTTAAGGAGAAATTTCCGATCCAGAATAGCACGAGATTTAGACTAAATTAGGGCGTTAAATACATCAATCAGTTAAATTGTATAACTCAAGTTCTGATTCTCACACTTGCATAAATGTTTGCCAGGCGTGAGCGAGCCTTCATTCCTGGCGAACATTTGTGTGCCGTGGACTAAAAATGCGACGTATTTCAAACCAATCGTACCAATTTTATAGTTTTTCAGCTTGGACTGCAATTTGAAAAAGTTGTAGACCTATAAATTTTTACTAGAGGAGAAGGTGGTATTTTGGAACACTGCGGGTATTATGGAACCACCCCATTTCGAACTGATAATAAAGGCGAACTGTAACGGAATGTGGCTGAACTGAACTAGACAGACATCCATAGCAAGGAGAAAACCCGTTTTACTTCAGTTAAACGGTTGTCCGTATTTAATCAGCAAATTTGTTTTTTTTAAAATTCACAAGTTTTGAATGCTAAGTGAATTTAATTATTTTTAAAATATAAATCGTGTAGTTGTAGGTTCACTGGTGCATGTATTCCGTTCCAGAGACTTAGGGGTACATATTAATCTGTGTGATGTTCACGTTTTTTAAATTTTGGTCTCGACAGACATAAGTTAATTCGAGATGGCGATGCGTGAAATACGGACCCCTTTGGTGCTTTTACAGTAATATGGAACTCAACTCCTCCGAACTCTCTCTTTGCAATCAGACATTCGTCCGGAGCAATTTGGGAAAAAGACACTAGGTAGAAAGTCTGAAAATATCGAAAAAGAGCTGCTGGAATATATATTGTTGATGGAGGTCATATTTTTCTATTATAAAAGCATTTTTGCGATAAAATACATTGGAGTAAATAATTTTGTAATTATTTAACATTTTTTGTCCTTTCCTATTTGTTTTTGGCTACATTAAAGCATTTTTTTGAAAATATACAGTAAGGTTCCATATTACCACCCGATTTTCTCTAAGCCTACTTTCGGACTTTTTGTACAAAAGCCTTCAAAAACCATACTTATAATTACACTAGCGAAAAATCCAATTAGGAACATTTAGTTTACTAGTTACCGGTACTTTTCGCACAAAAAATGTGGGTGTAGTTACGATACCTTGTTTACAATTCACTAAAATATAATTGGGGTTCCATAATACCACCTTCTCCTCTATAGTCCAATTGTCTTCCCTTAATCTCGAGAACAGAGTAAAACTGATGGATGCCGAGAACAGATTTAGAAAGATTAGGGCTGGAGGCCCCGATTAACTATATACAAACTTCCAGTTGAAACTGGAAGTCACGTTATTTCATTTCAAATATTTTTTATGAAAGAAGTCAGATAATGACCTGCACGACTCTACTATTAATAAAAAAAGTATAAGGTACAAGGGCAACACACTATTAATTTCAGGCGGAGGGCATATATTTTATTTACGAATAAAATTCTTATTATATATGCACTAAGAAAATCTTTACTGAAATGCATTATAGATTTCGCAAGGCCTGTCAGCATGCAAACGACAACAAATACAATGTGACTTATCTAGACCACAATACTCATTAACATTTCTATTGTTCTGACTCAGATTCACACTTTGTTTCCTGGAACGGCAAGCAAATGGCATAGACATCTTGGCCATTCAGTTATTTGTTTTAATATCAAACTGCTTTACATGTATATTTGAAATGAATGCACAGCAATTCATTTATTATTGCCAAGTATTTATTTTTAGGACTTTGCGATACGGTATAAAATTACTTAAATTTTTAAAAGTTTCTTGATTAATAATGAACTCTTTATTTTATTTTTCTAAAAGATGTAACAAGTATGCTTAGATGTATGTTATAATCGAAAAAAGCAGAAATAAACTGTGTTATATAATGCGATAATAATCAATTCCTTGTATAACACAACAAGAAGCGACGTAAAGAATACCGATTGGTCTTCACTTGTCTTCGGGAAATAATTCAAAACTTTTCGGAGGGTAGGAGACGTCGACATTGACGCTCAACCCGGTATATGCTGATCGGATAGTATTCCTCCGAACTTTGAAACTTTCCCTTGTAATTCCAGCCTTTCATTTTTTTGACAGAAGCAATTCTTTTATAGTATTCGCGAGACTGTCGCGTGAGCACTCGTTAAGTTTTGCGTGGGTTTTTATTTTCGAGAGGTCAGAGTATAATAGAAAGTGGGCAGAGATGTGGGATGTTGCTGGGCAGTATGGCTAGGCCGCAGTTCAATCTTATCTAAGAAACATACAGTATAATCAAGAAGACTCAAACAGCTAAAGGAGTAACAAAAATTACATGTAAGAAATAAAGAACATTGAAGAGCTCATAACGAAACCTGAAACGAATATGACCACAGAAGAACAATAATTCTTGAATGAAAAAAACCGAGAAACTCGGCGAGATGTTTTCTTCTGAAAAAGATTAATGCCAATATTTGCTATTTAAAAAATAAAATCTTTTGAAGAAGCAGGAGTATATCAAAACAACTGTCTAAAAATCGCAACCAAACAAGTATGAGGTTGATACAATTGGGGATCTCTGCAATTACAATGCTATTAATTACTTCTGAAAAATCCTGAAAAAAAGAGAAAAGCAATCGACATTAGACAGATTCTTTAACTCTTTTAAACGGAAAAAAACATGATTAATAAAAATGCAAGACTGTGAATATATGTATTTTTATTATTACATATAAATAAACGTTGCAAGAAAGTATATATATATATTTTGTTTTGGGATCTCCAGAACGGGTTAATGAAATTTTCATAAAAGCATGTGGTAAATTGGTTAATAATCGGTTAAGGAACAATTCGGATAGCAAAAAGTCTTGAATTATGTTCGTTAACCGATTACCGACTGTACTTTAAAGTATAGTAATAAAATTCAGTAAATACCAATCGAAATATTAAACTTAATTAATTAACTGTTGTTTGACGACAATTCAGTATTGAATACATTAACCTCCTAAGATCACAAATCAATATTTATTCAAAAGATTAATAAATTTAATTTTG